ATGTCGAGCCTTCTCTATCTGTCCTTAAATGCCACCTAAAAAAAGCTCAACTTTTTGACCACGCCTACCGTCACCTCCCACATCCCCTGCTTCCTTTACTCGGCATACGACCCATATCTTTGTGAAGCGCTCCTAGACATTATCCTACATGAAGGGTATAATATAAATGCAAGCTGTTGTGATAACACTCCATAAGGTAGCATATGAAACAGCTAGGAATCCTGAATTCATAGCAACAGAACTGGCTTTTATACATTAAGTGGCATAGCAACAGGCTGCAACAAGAGGCAACAATAATGAGGGCCAGGGTCACACAACTGACCCTCAGCCACTGAGACCACAAAAGGCCTAAACAATATGTACTTGAAAGTCATAGGGCACCCACAGCTTAATAATTTATTTGCTCCAGTCTTAGCTCAGCCGATAACTAATACTGTGTTTGCTCTAGTAGATTTGATACTGATGTACAATCTTATGATGAAAATAACCAGAGGTTGACTTAGTCACTTCCTAACGTTCGTGGATTCGTACCATGTGCTTAAAAATGAATGGAGCTGATCCATTACATTCCGGCAGCAGACAAAATGGTCTATTTCAATTTTATAGTTTGTTTTAAAAAAAATAGAAAAATCAAGCGCCTGTGTCTGCAATTTCATAAACTGCAGTATTAAGGCTGCATCATTTATTTTTGCACAAAATACCTTACATTTTCTACTTCTATCTATTTTTGAGGTTGTTTCTATGTTATCCAGCATTCCTCAACCAAAAGCATAGCAAGTGATATGTTAGTTGCTGATGGGAGTTGTCCAAATCGAGGCTTCTAGATTATTACTGAATTTTAATACAAGATTCCAGATTATTACTGCATTTTAATATATGCATGATCTTGTTCCGCAGCATCTCCTGTGTGAATGGAGGACAATGGAAACTCTTGAAAGAACCTAGTGCTACCCACCCAGCAGTCTTATACACAGTCCAGATCAATCAAAACAATTCAGAAGCAACTAGTGGGTGACTTAACCTAATATAAGAAGTAAATCAACATTATTGCAATTTTAAGATTTTTTTCTAGATTGCAGTAAAGTTGCAATTAGAAATATTCAAAATAGGAGCATATCAAGACTTTCAATGGTTTCAAAACAGCAATATACAAGGACTAAAAATAGGCATCTTTAATTTTGTATTTCTAAAAAAAAATAGTATACATTGGTCAGATAATTCTCATTTAAATGGTTCTTAAGTTAAAAGTATCCAGTTGCAGCTCTGTAGTTACTTCTCTGGATATTATAATAAATAATAAGTCCTTGCATTTGATATAGGCTTTTCACTTCTTCGATGAGTCTCAAAGCGTTTCACAGAATATACTGTAAAGTGAATGGACTGTATATTTGTGGGCAAAACACCTAAACATAAAGACCAAAGAATTAATCCGATTAATCATAAGAATTTGACTCGATACTGGAGAACTCACCTTGAGAAACTGTGGTTGAAGCAGAAAGCCCACAAAATATTACAATCACTGCACTTTACAGCGTAACCTGTGAAGGGCTTTGGGACGTCTCGAAGATAAGGCGTTATATCAAATGCAAAGATTATAAAGCATCAATGCATTTATGAGGAAATATAATCTATACATGAGTGAGAAGGGATATATAAATGCAAATGTAGTATTAATAGAAGCTATAGAAATGTTAGCACAATCATACTGTATTATTCGCTTCCCATAGACTGTTTGCTGTTGCAAATCTGAACCCTAATCAGCATTAAAATCTGTTGATAGCTTTTTTTAAAATATGGCAGGCGGGTAAGTGGAGATAAAGCCTATCCAATGCAAATCCCCTCTCCAATTGCAAATAATAGGTTACATGTTTTAAAACTTTATTGATATTTAATATTGACACTATTTTCACGCAAATATCACACAGGACTACGTTAGCAACCTTGTGAGAACATTTCAGAGAGAAACAGGGAGTTCTCCTGATATCCTACTTGCTTTCTTCAGTCAAATTCCCTGAAAATGTCACCATTTATCTCATTTAAGTTTGTGGCATGTTGATGCCACAGATTAGCTGTTACTGCTGCTTGCATAACTGTCACCAAACTTCAACATAAATGACGAGGCAGACATCAGCTATATCAAATGCAAGTATTATTTGTCATGTCAACTTATTGAAGGATATTAACTCAACTTGGCCATTGCAGTTGTGAATAGATAAGAACGATGGCTTTGATTGAGGCTACAGCTTCACAGCAAGAGCAGCATAATATGGATCCTGCTGACTTATGTGTTGAAGCAACAAAGGTAAACAACCCTTTGCTGGCAGCTTGGTTTAGATAAGCAGTCAAGCTCTCAATCTTTCAAAAATATTTACCAGGTAACAACCACTTCTCTCCACTGAACAGCCTTTACTTTCACAACCTTTCAAAAACTAAGATTAACTGGGAATAGTTACGCAAATAGAACTTATTAGAATTGACAGGTTAACTGAACTGGCTGAAAGCTCCCGCATTCCGAGAGTATTTCATTGTATTGTGCTTTGGCTTCTGAGTTGGGTATAACTGTGAAATAAATACACCACTAATTCTCTGAATGATTCACTTCTGTGAATGGGAGGTTTTCCAAACTGCATGATCATTGGAATGCATGATCAAGGGGTGCAAAACTCACCTGTTTCAAGAAAAAAAACTCAAGAGCTTTTTTTTAAAAAAATCATCGATATCAAACGTTTGGGTCACCTTAATGTCAACAAGCCAGGGGTACATTTGGGTTGATTTCCACGTTTGGAAACAATGACATCCCGAGGTGTCTCACTGTGCTCTGCTCAGAATGATGTCCATGGCAGCTCACCACGCCCAGGTTCCAGTGCTGGCCTCGTTTAATCAGAGAGCGAGTGCTGGGAATGCTCCCCAGTCCTGCGGCTCTGAAACCCTTCAACCTTTCTTTACCTACGTGGTTAAAACTGTAGGATACAATTACCGTCTCTCGGTAGATATTGCGACGAATTGCAAGATCTAATAAAACAAATATTCCACTAGCTACGTTCATTTTTTTTCCCCAACGCATTCGCGATGACTATCATATTACGTGCAATACAATGCTCTCTTTTTCAAAGTCCAATATTATATTGTTCCTATTGCTCTTATTCAGTTTCATCCGACAGCAACATCTGCCGATATATTTAACAAATCAAACTCAGCACGCCATTTAAAATAAAATTAAAATGTGCAATCTCAACTCGTAAATTAACGAAACACGACCATAACGTAGCCCTATAGAAATTAAATCATGATATACTAAAATATCTTAACGATTGCATTCGTGTAAACAAAAACTATTTCTAGCTTTCGTGCCGAAAGTAATACAATATATGCTTTTAGCTTATCTCCCATTTAACATAGATTCAAAATGAAAATATGCACTCAATGCAATGGAACCTGCCTCGTTTCTTATGCGGATAAAATTGGGTTTCCTGTACTAAACGTGATTGAATGAAGCAGTGAAAGCATTGCATGATTCCTGAAGGATATTGGCAGCATTAAGAGTAGCTTAATGTTAGTTACATGTAAATGGTGGAGGTTGGTTACTTTCATGCTTGAAACAGGTTGAATGGTTGGTAGTTTTCGATTCCAATGCTGGATATCAAAAGACTGACTCGGATTTCAAACGGTGTCTCCTTTACCAGGACATTTTCCTCAAATCCAGGTGCAAGTGAGAAATCGGGGTGGGAAAAATGTTGGCAAGAAATGACAGACATTGACAATTAGTTTAAAATGACAGCGTATGATTCATAAGAACGGCATCTATTAAATCGAATTTTTTTTTAAAAATCAAGCCCTCAAGTAGTTTTTGAATTGATCAATTGATCAATAGCAAAAGGTACAAGTGTGAAAGTGGCATTAGTTCTTTGTATAAAAAGATAATATTTTTTTTAAATGCTGCACAGCGCTGATGCACAAGTAAACGGGAATCAATGATAAATAGCATCTGAAACTTCGAGAACGATCTTACAGCTGTACATAACAGACACTGTTATTGAAGGGGGAAAAACATTTGCAAGCAACCGCACAAGTCAACAATCTGATTCAATCCAAGGGAGGGGAACCCATTGAGAGGCCAGGCTTCTTACAACCAAATCCCTCTGCATCAAAAAGCGTATCCATCTCCTTTCAAGATGATATTCTATTCCCCTCCTCTACCCCACACACAAAAAAAAACTTTCCATATACGGAAAACAAACAACACTACCCGTAACTCGCGTCCAGGTTCGGGTGGTGGTGGTGGTGGGGTGGTGGGGTGGGGGGGGGGGTCGGGCTGGGTATAGCGGGTGTGAAAGGGATTAGGTGGAAGCAGCGACGTGGGGAGGAGGAGATGGGGCGAGGGTGAGAAGGAAGAGGGGGAGGGGGGACAACGAGTTGGGGAGGGTGTGTGGGATGAAGGATGAGGGTGTGTGGGGTGAGGGATGAGGGTGTGTGGGGTGAGGGATGAGGGTGTGAGGGGAGGGAATTGGGTGAGAGTGTGAGAGGAGGAAGGTACGAGGGGCGAGAGTGTGAGAGAGAAGGGAATGGGTGAGGGCACGAGACAGGAGAGGGGGTGAGGATGTGGGGGGGGAGGGGGGAGGGAGGGCTTTAGGGGCGAGGATGTGAGGAGAGGGGCTGATGAGGTGGGGGTGAGATGATGAGGGTGTGAGAGGAAGGTTAGGGGGCGACGGCACCAGAGGGGCTGAGGGTATGAGCGTGAGAGGGGGGGGTGAGAATATGAGGGGGGGGTGGGATGGGTGAGGGCATGAGGAGGAGGAGGTGAGAGGAGAAGAGATGGGGAGAGGGGGGGGGAGGACCACACCTCGGGACTCCTGCCGCAGGGAAGCAAAAAGGGCGGTGGGTGAGTGGGTGAGGGGGAGAGAAGGGAAAACAAGGGTCCAGACCCCCAGATATCACACACCAACTGCTCCACTCAAACCCCCCCCCCCCCCACCCCATCGCCATCCCTCCCCCTCACTCACCGCTCTGCTCGCCCAGGAACACCAGCTTGAATTTCCGCAGCGGGTTCCCGAAATCTCCTCCCGAAGTCATCGCGGATGAAGGAGGAGGAGAGGAGAGGAGGAGGAGGTTTGGAAAGGAATCAAAAATCCCTCAAAGTTTACCCCCCTCCCCCACGCGAAAAAAAAAAGACCTAAGCGGTTCACCCCCTCCCCTCAATCTTCTTTGGGTTCGGTTTTATAACCGTTATAGTTTCGGCTTCGCTCCTTTTTTTTTGAAAAAAAACGGTTAAATAGGTCCTTCGGGGGGGGGAAAAATTTTTTTTTTTTTTTTTGGAAGATATCTTAATTTATTTTTTTTACCCCCCCCACCAATCCGACCTTCCAAGCGGTGCCGCCCGGCAGTGAGCGTGACGAAGCGGGTGGGGAGGGGGTGTTGGGGGTTGGGTTCGGGGAGACGGTTCCTTCAGCCGCGCTCGCTGCTCCCACACTAACCGCCGCTGGACAACCCGGCCTGACACCGGAAGTTTCCCCCTCCCTCCCCCCGCCGCCGCCGCCGCCACCACCCGAGTGATGGACAGCCACCGCAACCAATAGCGAGCCAGGAGCTGGGAGGACTCCCTGCCATGTCGGCGTGCACCGACCAATAGGAGACGGGGAGATCGAGGAATGAGAGGCGGGATCCCCGCCTGTCTCCCACGCCCTCCTCTGCTCCGCCCCCTGGGTGAAGGTAATGATTGACGGCCACAGCAGCCAATGGCACGCAAGGAGCTGAGTGGCCGCCCAACCGTGTCGTGTGTCGGCGGACCAATACGATTGGGAGATTGAGGTAGGAAGGGCGGGACCTAAGCCTCTACCCCCTTTTCCTTCCCCTCCCCCACCCCATGACCTGAACACCGCCACGTTACCACCCCGCCCTCCGGGTGACGTCAGCCGCGTGTGGCCCGCCTGCTCCCCGCCCCTCTCTGCAATGCAATGTTGCCAGGTTGGGGCGGGTTTCACGCCCAAATTGGGCGGGTTTTTGTTGAAACTGTGCGTGGGGGGGGAAAAACTTTTTTTTGATAACCCGCAAAACGTTTTTGTTTTTCCCTTTGAAGACGTTTTCTTTACGTAGTGTCAAAAGCACTAACCTAAATTGGCCGCTCTGTTAGCCCCGTAGGAGGCGACGCATTATACGGGGCTACTTTCGGGCCAGTGTGTGGTTGACTTTGGGCTACAAATGTATTTTAATATCTGCTAACCCCCGCTCCACTCTGCCAGGGATCATAATATTAACAATCCCTGCATTTGATAGAGTGCCCTCATCTCCAAAGCCTCCCTTGGCCTCACTCACTCACCCCCTCCTCCTCCTCCGGCTGCTTCCCCTCTTTCGCGAACCTCACCCTTTTCCACCCCTCTCTCCCTTTGAAAATCCTCCTCGTTTACCGTCCCCCTAAACCCCCGGCTTCTTCCGCACAGACATCTCCACTCTCCTCTCTTCCCTGTCCCTCTGCTCCGAGCGCCTACTCATAATGGGCGATTTCAACCTCCACCTAATCTCCCCTTTGCACCACTTCTGCTGGTTTCACTGCCCTCCTCCCCTCCCTAAACCTTACCTTACATATAAACTCACCCACCCCCAACCGTGGTCATGCACTTGACTACATCATCACCCACGGCCTCGACATTTCCGACCTTAGCAAAGTGGACAAGGCCATCTCGGACCACTTTTTCATCTCCTTCTCCTCTCACATCACTCTCTCCTCCACAAAAACCCTCAACCATCCTCTACCGCCCTTGGAAAAGGCTACCCCCGAGACCCTCACAAGGGCCCTCTCATCATCAGACATCCTATCCGTCTGGCCTTCCACCCGCAGAGATCCTGCAGCAGCCGTCCAGCTGCTCCATGATCGCCTCTCCTCCACTTTCAACTCCCTCATCCCCCTAAAATCCAGGACCGTACAGTCCACCGCCAACTGTGACTCGAGCATCTCCACAGCTACCGCCGTTCTTTGACACACGCAAAAACGGCCTTTTACTCCAACATCATCTTGGAGGCTAAACACAACCCCAAAATCCTTTTTTCCACCACCCACTACCTCCTCCGTGACCCCCCTCAGGCCTCCTCAATCTTCACATTGAATGCCAAGTGCGAGGAGGTCATGGACTTCTTTTCATCTAAAATACTTAACATCCACCAGGCAGCCTCATCCACCTGCCCCTCGTCACCCACCACCTCGCCCTCTCTGCCCCCCTCACCTTCCTCATCATCTGCTCCTACCACCACCCCCTTTCTAAACTCTTTCCTCCCCATCTCAACCTCTTCCCTCTCACCCACCATCACCTCCATGAAACCCACCACCTGCTGCCTCAACCCCCTACCCACCAATTTACTGGTCACAGAGCTCCCCCTCCTCTGCCCACTACTGGCTGATATCATCAACCAGTCCCTCTCCTCCGGATCAGTCCCTGCCTCCCTCAAAACTGCTGTCATTACACCCTCCTGAAAAAACCCTCCCTGGATCCCTGAAACCCCAGTCACTACCATCCTATTTCTAACTTACCCTTCCTCTCAAAAGCTCTAGAACGCGTTGTGGCCAACCAACTCCGCGCACACCTCTCCTCCCACTCCCTCTTTGAACCCCTCCAGTCCGGTTTCCGCCCACAGTACAGAGACTGCGCTTGTGAAAGTCACAAACGACATCCTCTCTATCTATAATAATAATAATAATCCTTGCATTTGATATAGCGCTTTTCACGTCGGGAGGACGTCCCAAAGCGCTTCACAGAATATACTGTAAAGTGAATTGACTGTATATTTGTGGGCGAACGCGGCAGCCAATTGCGCACAGCAATGTCCCACAAACAGTAGTAGATTGAAAATGACCAATTTATTATTGTTTTTTGTTTTGGAGAGATTATTATTAGGCTCTGTGTGGAGTAAGGAAACTTGCCCAAGGTTTCGCCCTCTGCCTGGAATTGAACTCAGGTCTCTCACTTGCAAAGCGAGTGCTCTAACCAATGAGCTACAGGACTCCACGACTGTGACCAGGGCTCCCTCTGCCTCCTTGTCCTCCTGGACCTCTCCGCCGCGTTTGACACAGTCGATCATGCCATCTTCTTCCACCGCCTTTCCTCTGTCATCCACCTCAGTGGGACCGCACTCACCCGGTTCGAGTCCTACCTCACAAACTGCCAGTAGTACATCTGCACAAACGGCTTCTCCCGCTCTCACCCGGTCAGCTGTAGGGTACCCGAAGGATCCATCCTTAGCCCCCTCCTCTTTCTGATCTGTATGCTCCCTCTTGAGGATGTCATCCGCAGACATGCGGTACATTTCCACATGTATGCAGATGACACCCAACTCTACTTTTCCACCTCTCTTTGCGACCCCCAGTCCTCTGATGTTCTGTCAGCTGCCTGTCAGATCTCAGGGGCTGGATGAGCGCAAATTTCCTTCAGCTGAACGTTGATAAGACGGAAGCCATACTCCTTGGCTCTCGTCAACGCCTAAAATCTCAAGGCTCTCACCTCCTCCACCTACCCAACCTCCCCCTAAAACTCTCCGAACCCATACACTAACTCGTCATCAGGTTCAACCCCCAATTACCCTTCCTCCCCCACATCAGGTAACTTACCAGCACTTTCAACCTCCGTCGCATCGCCCGTCTCCGCCAATACCTCTCCCCAAAAGCCACTGAAACTCTGGTCCGTGCCTTTGTCACCTCTTGGCTGGACTACTCCAACGCCCTCCTCGTCGGTCTCTCATCTACTACCATCCATAAAATCAAACTCATTCAGAACTCTGCCGCCCGCATTCTCACCCGCACCAAACTCCACTCCCCGATCACCCCAGTCCTTGCCAGACTGCACTGGCTGCCTATCTCAGAGAGGATCGGTTTCAAAATCCTCACCGTCGTATTCAAGTCCCTGCACTCCTCTGCACCCCCCTACATCTCTGACCTCCTCTCTCCTCAAAACAGTACCCGTTGCGTTCGTTCCTCCGGGTCTGGCCTCCTCCTTGTCCCCCACGTCCTCGGCTTCACCCTCGGCGGCCGTGCCTTCAGCCACTATACCCCGAGGCTCTGGAACTGCCTTCCTCACTCCCTTCATCTCATTCCCTCCCTTTCCATTTTCAGATCTCTGCTGAAGACCTTTCTTTTCGACCACGCCTTTGGTCACTTTCCCCCTCCCCCTGGCTCGGCCCCGGTATTCGTTACTGTAAAGTGCTCTGAGATGCCGACCGGCGTGCAAGGCGCTTTATAAATCCAAGTTGTTGTTGTTGCTGTATCATACCGTCAAGATGTCTGAAAGCACTCCACTGTCAAGTGGAGTGACTGTATTTTGTGGGTGAAACAAAGAAGAGTCCTACTGCAACATTTACGTAGAATTACATAGAATGTACAGCACAGAAACAGGCCATTCAGCCCAACTAGTCTATGCCGGCGTTTATGCTCTACTTGAGCCTTCTCCTGCCCTTCCTCAACTAAGCCTATCAGCATAACCTTCTATTCTTTTCTTCCTCATGTACTTATCTAGCTTCCCCTTAAATATATCTCTGCTAAAACAACAACTTGCACTTATATAACGCCCTCCACGCAAGGTAGCCTCTCGAGGGCTTAACAGTGGTTGAGCCTGACTCTAAGTTGGTGGGGGGGGGAGATGGCCATGACCGTAAGCACGCTCGAAGAGGAAGGTCTTCAGGCGGGACTTCAAAAAGGGGAGAGGGGGGGCAAGGCGGAGGGATTGAGGAAGCGTGTTCCAGAGTTTCGGGGTGTAGTGGCTGAAAGCACAACCTCCGATGGTGGGGAGGAGGGTGCGAGGGATGAGCAGGAGGCCGGTGTCAGGCGAGCAAGCGCCTGGTGCTAGTCGAGCCGTGGCCCTGGGTGGTGGATTGGGGAGTGAAGAGGTCGGAGAGGTAGGGAGGTGCCAGAGAATGAAGGAATTTGAACACAGGTGTGCAGATCTTGAAGTTGATCTTGGAGTCAGACTTGAAGTTGATGCTATTTGCCTCAACTACTCCTTGTGGTAGCAAGTTCCAAATTTCCACCACACTCTGAGTAAACAAGTTTCTTCTGACAGTGGTCCCAATACCGATCCTTGTGGAACATCACTTCCCACCCTCTGCCAGTCTGAGTTGCTGCCCTTTACCCCTACTCTCTGTTTTCTGTCTTGTTGCCAGCTTGCTATCCATTCTGCTATTTTTCCTCTGACTCCACATGCTCTGACCTAATTCATTAGTCTATTATGCAGTACCTTATCGAATGCCTTTTGTAAATCCAAATATATTACATCTACTGCATTACCCTTGTCTATTCTTTCTGTTACCACTTCAAAGAATTCAATGAGGTTGGTCAAGAATGACCTTCCTTTTTGAAATCTGTGCTGACTATTCTTTATTATATTTTCAGTTTCTAGATGTTTTTCTATTACAACATCAACAAAATTACATTTGTAAAGCATCTTTCACGTAGGGAGGACATCCTATTACCTCCTTCAGTAAGGATTCCATCATCTTTCCTACCACCAATGTTAAGATGACAG